TACCACAGCGCCACCATGTCCTACGGTTTAGGAAATGCAAGTTTGTTTAGTATGCATTTAGATGTGAAATAAACATCTTTCTTACCCACCCCACCCCCTGATAATATTCAGCTGTCTTTGTAATAATCCTTAAAGCATTCCTATGAAGTAGGTATTATCTGCATACCAGAGATTGAGGAGGAGTTTAAAATCACAAAGGAGAAGCTTCTTCAAGGTCACACAACAAAGCTATGGCAGAACTGAAACTTGAACTGGGCACATTTGAGATTTACAATTTGTGTTCTTACTTAATCTTATGCCACATTAGCTCTTATTTAACAAAACACTGTAGAAGAGCCAGAGGCACTTCTCAGCTGTTAGTGAGACTTACCTGGGGGCGGGGGTGAGGATATAGTATAATCTTATCAAGATACTGAGCTAAAAATGGGGCTGTGCTAATTTTGTGTGAGAAGACAGCTTATTATTAAAAAATGTTCATTTTGTTTAGTTTTTTGCCCGACCTTTAAATTAAAGTAATGCCACTACTTACATCATCATCATCATCATCATCATCATCATCATCATCATCATCATCAGTAGTAGTAGTAGTAGTAGTAGTAGTAGTAGTAGTAGTAGTAGTAGTAGTGCGGGAAGGAGTATGTATGTGTGGCTTAATGAAATCCACAGGTGCCATGCCTTACTGACAACAGTGACTGAAACAGTTGTCACAAAAATGTAGGGGACTGTGTCCCTCTGCCATCACTGGTAAAATTGAAAGATCAAATATCTTTATAGAAGGCATGGTGTAGGATCCTAAGCCAGTGGTTCTTAACCTTTGTTACTTGGATGTTTTTGAACTGCAACTCCCAGAAACCCCAGACAGCACAGTTGGTGGTGAAGGCTTCTGGGACTTGCAGTCCAAAACTCCTGAGTAACCCAAGGTTAAGAACCAGTGTCCTAAGCTACAGGAAACCTGACCAAATATCTCCTCCCTTCCTTATGCACATGCTATTCCTTTGGGGTTGTATTTATGTATGTATGTATGTATGTATGTATGTATGTATGTATTTATTTATTTATTTATTTATTTATTTATTTATTTATTTATTTATTTATTTATTTATTTGTTAGACTTTTATCCCTCCCTTCTAGACAATGTCTACTCAGGCGGGTCACAATAAAATCATTCATAAAAACAGTTAAAAGAATACATTAATTGTCATCAAAGATGTGGTTATGTGTCTTACTAGCTGGCAAGAATGGTTGGTGGGTACTCAACACAGGTAGGTCCTTTTCTGTAGCTGCATCCCAATTGTTAGATCCCTCTCCGTTTTTTTTTAATGGATTCTTTTGTTCTTTCATTCACTCCCATTTGGGGGAAGTATGAGTTTTAATTTGTTTGATTTCATTTAAAACTTGTATGTCACCTTGAGCACGTAGTAGGCAGAGAGGCAATTCACCACTGCCACCACCACCACCCTGTTTGTGACCTTGCTTTTTCTCCTTCTTTCCTTGTCTTGCAGACAGGACAAGATGGGTCATCTCAGAGACCTACACCCACCCGAATCCCTGTCTCTAAAGGTATGAAAGGCGGGAAGCCTGTAATGACAGCCTCGGGAGCAGGAAATCAGACCAAATTCGAGCCTCGTGCCGAGACTCAGTCTATGAAAATTGAATTGAAGAAGTCTTCAGCCAATAGCTCTCCCTCCCTTGGTGGGGGGAAGGGCTGAGGGCAGTGGCTAAGGGGGTATGTTGTGTAGGTTTTACTGCTACTATGGAAATAAGCCCCTTGTCTGTTTGCACATACTAATTAAGTCTGCTGAAGCTGCCATTTATACTAATACATGCATGTCTAACCTACTGAATGCAATAATTTCCCCCTTTTCTTCTTTCCTCTATGTTGGGTTAAAGTATCATTTTTGAGGTGGGGGGAATGTAGCCTAGTTCAACAATTTCTAAAAGGGAAGAGGTGTTTACAATAAGGTTGTCAAATAACTACTCTCCCGACCACATTTTCTTAAAGTCCCATGTACCATTTCTTTGCTGCACACGATCATGTTGGTTTGTGCTTCCAAGGCACTTAAATCAGTAGTTTGCTGGAGAAGTAATAGGAAATGAGCATTGAATTATACTGTAGCTCATTTCAGAAGCCAAACTCTTTGTTCCTCTAGCAGAGGAACTGCAGAGCTTAAAACCTGGAGCTTCTGCAGAGCTGGGAGAATTCACTTTTTTGGACTATTAACCCCAGGAATTCTGAGCGAGCATGGCCACAGGAATAGATGAGTGGTGGGTTTGGGGAGTTAAAATCCCAAAAAGTAATGATCACAAGCTCTGTAGGAGAAACACTGGGAATATGTAAACATCTGTTTAAACAGATTATGTAGATATCTAGGAACCATTAAAAAACCAATGGCTTTTGAGTTAGTATTTTTTTTCCCTTCACATTCAAATAGGGCTTCACAGAGAGTTACTTAAATAAATACAACATTTCTCAGTCATATCAGTGAGGTATGCATCAGATAAGCAGTAAACAATCACTGCTACATGTTTTGCATCTTTTGGTCTTAGTAAATTCCTAATGTAAATGGGAGTACATGATACTGGGAGAGAAATCTTGAATAGCAAACATTGCTTAAAGAGAGATGCTCCTGAATACTGTGCATTCAGAATATATCTCAGTTGTAGGCATTACTTAAAAAGAGATGTTATTGAATTCTGTCTATTCAGAATATATATCTCTTGTCTCAGAGCAAGGCAAAACTAGATTTCATGTCTTCTGCCTGTATTAGACTTCTTGCAGTGCCCTTGTTTTATTTTTGAAAGCATGTTTTAAGATTGAAATTTGTGTAAATGCAATTATGACTACCCTTGTAATTGTTTTTATCTAATAGAACTACAGCAGTTATGAGCTTTTCCACTGCCAGAAGCTTCCATAGCTGCCCACAACTAGAACCTAAATGCCTGCCTGTAGCAGAAGTAACACAACATGTTAAATAATTACCAGTGCACAGTTTTCTTCCTTTCCCCTTTTTCCTTTCTTCTCTTTTATCTATGTGGCAATTCAGTAACACAGTTCTTAATGATTCCTTCCTGGAGGAAAAGTGAACCCTGCAAAGTAGCAATAAAAACATATAATTAGTCAGTGGCATTAAAAAGTGAAGTAGTTAAAGGTGGGTGACTGAATTTGTCCATTAGACAATTATATTGGCCGTATGTGCTGCAAAGTACTTTGAAAATAGTGTCAGGTTTACCTACCGTCCACTGTAGGTTAAATACATGTGAAGGAACGAATAGCTGACAAAATGATGCCGTAAAGGACACTTTGGTTTGCCACCCTTCCAGCTCTACAGTTCTAAGATTAGATTAGTTTTTCTTAAAAGGCCATGAGTGTTAAAACAGAGATCGTTTTTCTTCAATAGAACATTTATGAGTTGAAGTCTTTGTTGTTTCGATTCCAGCTGCATTAGTCTATTTTGGAAAACACAACAACAAAATGCCTTATGGCACATTTGAACACAGCATAAACTTTTATGGGGCAGGAACCACTTTGTCAGATTTTGTTCTGGCCTACAAATTTTTATGCCATGATAAATGAGAGAGTTGTTTATGTACCACAGGACTCCTTTAATATTTCAGTTTATCTCACAGAACTATGACTAAATCAACAGGAAGAAATAAATTAAAGCACTTGTTACCACACCAGGTTTATTTTATTATGTTTTATTATATTTGTGTTTATTAAAGTTTTCTGGGCGGATTATACAAAGAGTAAAATAAAATGCAATAAAATGTAGTACAATAAAAAAGCTGAGGAAAATATACAAAAACAGATGTAACATTTAAATGCCTTAAAGAAAAGAAAGGTCTTCGCCTGGAGCCAAAAAGATAGGCATGCAGGCGAGAGGAATTCCATGTGGAATGTGGAGGATTCTTGTTGCACAAGAAACGGCTCCCTCTTTCCTAGCCACTTGCCTAGCTTCCTTTTGGGGGCATCATTCATTTCATACTAGAAATTGTAGGACAGAGATTCAAAAAGGTGGTTCCATATTGCTTTTCTGACGTTAAAAGAATTCACCGAAACTTCGGTAGGAAATCAGCAATAGTTGCAGTCCCCATGTTCCATTCTGGCATTGATCAGCAACTGCATTTTTGCTACTTCCTGGGTACAGTATTTCCACACCTACTTTAGTGATAACTCCATGTTCACATGGAGCTGAAAGGTTAATTCACACTGAATGCTTGGTGTTATATAATTTGGAATAATTGTTTATAAAGGAGAGTGGGCCTTAGAAAGCCTGGCTAACAACAAGGCCAGTAGAAACGGCTCCCTCTTTCCTAGCCACTTGCCTAGCTTCCTTTTGGGGGCATCATTCATTTCATACTAGAAATTGTAGGACAGAGATTCAAAAAGGTGGTTCCATATTGCTTTTCTGACGTTAAAAGAATTCACCGAAACTTCGGTAGGAAATCAGCAATAGTTGCAGTCCCCATGTTCCATTCTGGCATTGATCAGCAACTGCATTTTTGCTACTTCCTGGGTACAGTATTTCCACAGCTACTTTAGTGATAACTCCATGTTCACATGGAGCTGAAAGGTTAATTCACACTGAATGCTTGGTGTTATATAATTTGGAATAATTGTTTATAAAGGAGAAACTGTAAAATTCCAAAGTTAAAATGGACGAATACAGACAAGATCTTGATCCGAGTTAGTAGGTCTTGGTAGCATAAGCATGCCCTTTTCAACCAAACAACTAAACTAGCACCACACTATCTCTGAGAGGAAAGTTGTCCCTGCTGCTCCAGAGATCTAATTACTGTACCTGTCCATATCTTTAGAATGTGTTTAGAGAAACAATTAACACAACATTAGAGATACTAGACATAGGCCAGCTAATAAGTCCTGCATTAATTTCTCTGAATCTTCGTCTTCTCCAGTTGTGTGCAATAACTCATTTTTCTCTGGCTCAGCTTCCCATTCATTTTGTCCCTCTCTCACAGGAACACCTTCAGCTATTCCATTGTGTTCGCTCTGTTTCCCTCACTGCACCTAGCTCCACAATGCTCCCCTCTTGCTCATTCTGTGGTAAGGCTGTGGTAGAACTAGCTACTCTAGCAGCTACTTCTCTCTCTCTCTCTCTCTCTCTCTCTCTCTCTCTCTCTTCAGCCAAGCATGCTAGCTGTATGGAAAGCAGCTGGGCAAATGTTGCTATATGTGGGGATACCCTTCATGGAAGGGCTGAGAGGAATGGCCATGCACACAATCCTTCATCTAGAAAGTGGAGAATAGCTGGCTTCCATCACCATTTCCATACCTCCTTCTGTGTCTAGATCACAATAGAACAGAATGGGACATGCAGCCCCTGAGACATTTTTGTAGTCCCCAAGGCTATACCATATCCCCTCATTAAATGTGTGTGTGTGTGTGTGTGGTTTCCTCTAAAAAAAGTCCCTGTTTCCATTGGATAGAAGGGTGTTCCCTAAGACCTTCCTGCCCCCTCAAAGAAAAACAATGACAATGCCCATCTAGATACTTCCTATTTATATGCTTTCAAGATGGACCAAGTCATCCATTTCTAGGCCCAAGGTACCCATGCCTACCCCGCCTTCATTTTTCATACCCCACAGTAGAGAGTAACAGAAGGATAAAATGTAGGAGCTGGCTTTTACCTACATGGTTAACAAAATGCCCATAATAGCTGAGGTTTATATGGCCTCGCAACACCGTCTAAGGGCAGAACACTGCACATCTTTGGGAGACTCATATAGTAAAGACTAGGCCACCCAACTCCCAGGGTGGGCAGTTCATGCTTCTTCTCACAATAGCGTCTCTGAGGGCAATTCTGAGGTGAACCTAAGAACATGGGGTTTTAGCACAGCACGTTTCTTTGAGGGTGCAGAGGAGAACCATTAACTTTACATCTGTCTCAGTGTACTCTAGGCCCCCTCGACATGTAGCACAGAAGATTTGATCTTAGCTGCCCCACATACTCTTGATATTGTCCCATTATATGGCAAACATTATCTGATATACTTAGTTATTGTATGGTGGTGCTTTGGCATGACCAAAGGAAAAAAAATGCACTGTTTTACTTATACTAGGGAAAAGAAAAGGACTGCAGTCTGGATACTACTGAGGTAGTGGTAAATAGGAATTGAATTTATTTTTCTTTTTTTAGATTACAGATCCAATAATTCCCCATTCTCTGAGTGCTACCTGACTTACACACACCTTACAGACATCTAAGCTCACCTGGGAGAAAAGGCCTAAACTGGAAGGCCTTGAAGCTTAGCTAAGCCTAGCTCCACTCCTGGTGCAAGTAGAGAGCTTTCTTTCTGAACAGGAACTTAGGGTGGAGCTCGACCCAGCTAAGCCTCAACATTCTGTTCTCCACATCTGGCAAGTCCATCCATTTCAAAATTAAGGATGCTTCTACTGTTTATGTAGCCCCATCCTAGTCTCTGTTTCTTGGTAATGTTCTTGATAGGCTTTTTCTAGCGGTGGACAATGAGTCTAAAGTGCCAGACTGTGACCTCTTGTGAAATGGGGAAATTAATGCTAAGAAAACTGAACAACATTTTACTGTGACATCACTAACTACCTCTGGCTGCTGTGGTGGGATGATGCATAGCTTATGTTTATGCTGTGCAAATAGAAGAAAGCTATTCTCTTGTATTCAGTGTGAAGGATTGCAAGATTTCATTCAGAATACACTCCCCCCCCACCTTCAAAAAAGGGACAGAACC